TATCCAGCTAACTACTGTTCCACCTGCACGCCCTCTACCCACTTCACTTCAATGTTTTTCTAAGTCTTTGATTGATAAGATATGGGCCAGTTTTTCTCGTACCTGATGTTATCGACTATTGTTCTCTATTTGAGAAATATAACTGACGAAAACTTTTCTAATATTGAACAATGCAAAATAAGAAGTAAACATTTCTGATTCATGCTGATATTATATCACGTCAACATCTGTATATTTTAATACTGAAAGCTGCAGTTTTGTTATCTTATCAGTAATGAAGACCCCTCTAGTGGTGACAGTAATGAGAAACCTCAACTTTTTAGCAAAAGCAAACCTGAGGGAGGGAGGGAGGGAGGGAGGGAGGGAGGGAGGGAGGGAGGGAGGGAGGAGACATGGAGAGAGACACGTCTGTAGTTTGAACCTGAGCATCTTCCCGCCTCTAGAGGAACAGAATCCCTTCCATGGCAGGAAGCACTAAACAGTTTTTGATTATGTGTTTTTCCTTCTTTTTCCTTGATGGTGTGTTCTTCAGCCTATGAGCCTGCTGCAGCTGCCCAAACCCACAGAGAGCCAGCATGGCAGGGGCGATCCATCGGCACCACCAAACTACGACTGGTGGAGTTTTCATCTTTCTTAGAGACGCAGAGGGATCAGGAGGCAGTGAGTACACACACACACACACACACACACACACACACACACACACACACACACACACACACACACACACACACACACACAGACAGTCAGACAGAGACAGCAGTCTACAATAAGCACTCCCTATTGTCCTATAAACAGAGATGACAGATAACCCTACAGCAGAGAACAGCATTAAAGCCTTTTGTGTGTCTCCTTGTATGAATAACCTTTATAAAGCTCTATCTCTCCGTCTGCTCTGCCTATCTGTCATCTTGCCACATCAGGGATCCATTGTCATTTTTCTACCTTGGGCTCACAGACAGCTGGCATTCATCTTGTTGCTTTCTGTTTGGATAGTACATAAAAATGTCCTACAGTGGCTTTGAAATGGATTCTATTGTGCAGCAGCGTCACCTTCCCTGCATGATTTACTCTACTGTAAATAAATGGAGCTAGATGTGTCCTTAGATAACGCCACCATAAAATGGACATTTACAACTACGATCTAAAAGTTTCTCGTATAAACTTAGAGGATTATTTAGTGTAAAGCAGCATAGTCACATTAAAGGACTTTTAAAAAATGTGTACTCCAGTAACTTTTTCTGAAAGATTACCACATCCTGCTGGGGTATAATTATTTTTGCTTCTTTTTTTGGTATATAAAGCACTTTGATCATATTTACAATGACATAAACCCTTCACTGAAGCTGTAAAGGAGGTAGTAGGGCTAATCCAGTTAGGACTTTTTTTGCAAAAATGCAAAAAAAAAAAAAAGATTTCAATAGCCATATGAAAAGCTGGAAAACAGGTTCAGATGTGTCTGCTGATGGAAGCATCGTCACTGCCCGATCCGTCCCGGAATACGATCCATTCAGCTCATTTGCGCATGCGCATATATATCCGGGTCGTCCTTGATTTTATTTTGTAAATATCTAAATGACGTTTTCCCTCTCTTAAAATAGTAAACGTACTAAAATATAATGTATTAAATGGTAATAATGAATTTCCTGAGAGAATAAATGCCTTAAAATCCTTTCTGTTTAATGACTCTGTGCCCAATCTGCATCGGAAACGGGATCCTACGCTACTTCCGGTCGCTAACTTTTTCGACTTTGGATTCAAACATAAATCTATTCTTTTTTTAGTTTGATGTTTTCATTTTGTTTTAACCTTATGCTATATAGTGCGTAATCTTAAGAAAGAAGCAACTAAAATGCACATAAACATGGTTTAATCGTATTTTGCCGGACTGCTCTGAGCATGTCTGTCGATGATGTCAGAGAAGCAGTTTAACAAAGAAAATGTAAAAAGCATAAGAATTGTCTCACAAAAGGTATAGAAGAGTTTTTTAAAGATGTTTATTTGGATTCTTTAGTGAGTTAAGGATAGAAATAAGTAGTTTTAGTGCAAATTATTACATTACTTATGGACACCCGCATATGTATATCTGTATGCACATGTGCAGGACGGATTGTGCTTCCGGGAAGGATCGGGTAGTGACAAGCGTGACTACAGCAGTCTAAATACAAACAAGAATATACATTGTTTGAAATAAATGTGAAGGTAGCAGATAAAATCCAGAAGACAACTCAGCTTCCCTCCATTAAAGACATTTCATTCCAGCGCTGCGTGTCCAGAGACCGTAACCTTATAAATGAGCCCTTACACCCCCGACATGGACTGTTCTCACTGCTGCCTTTGGAGAAGAGACTTCGAAGCATCCAATGCAGGTCCAGCTGATTCCAGAACAGTTTCTTGCCCACTGCCATTAGACTGCTGATTGTTTTATAAAATTGGATAAAAAAAAAAGTACTTTAACTAATATTTAGTCATATGTTTACATTTATCATTGCTGCTTACCTTTATCAAAGCTGCACTTTAAAAAAAGAAAATGTCTTGAGAGCTGTACTGAACGAAATTTCTTTTTGCATACACTCTGTGTGCAAAGATAATAAAGTCTGTCTAAGTCTGAGTCAACATCCGGTTGAATTCAGGGCTCATCAACGATGCAATGGTCACTGCGGTCATTCCTCCTTCAAGCTCTGCTGCCTGAAACAAGAGTAGAGCTGCAGCTGTCCATTCTTTTAGGGAAAGATTCATCTATCCAACATTTTTTTGGTTCATCCATCAATCTGAAAATAAATAATTTCAGAAAATTAAGTATTTACGAGTATAAATTAAGTACTTTAAAAAATTTATTTTTTGAGGCAAAGTCATGTTGTAAATATACAACATATACATAAAATATATATATATAATCCAAAGAGATTTTTAATGGTAAAGAGAAATTTTCTATATTCTTTTTAGAGCTTTGTCTTAATTTCTGCTGTAATTATTATTTTTTTTTATGCAATTAACAAATTTGGCATTATACTGATCTATAAATCACAATTAATCATTTTAATCTTAATTTTAACCTAATCTAGAATATCCTGAATTGAAGTCAAAGCCTGGCGCCCCTCTCTTTCCCTGTGCATACTTAGTTCATCTTCCCACTGACTAAAAACCCGGCTGAGAGCTTAATTGGTCTTCCTCCATGGTCCTTGCGTGTACGCCTGTATGGACAGTCCTCTCTCTGAGTCGCATTGTGATGGACCCTACCCACCCAGTCCTACACGGATAAGTGGATTTATACAATGGATGGATTGATGGGTGGCTTTGGATGCTAATAGGCACTCGCTCTCTTGCTCCTCAAATGTCAGACTTTCAGAGTATTCAGTCAGAAGCACAACTAGAAAATCAGGTCGGTCTATAATAGCCGCCGTGTTTAGAAGTGTTTTGAAGGTTTTAGGTATTAACTGTCTGTTAGTTTGTATCCTAATGAAGGTTGTGAATACAGTCATTTATTGTCTGAATGCCTAAAACTGAAAGAAAACACATTGTAGATCAGTGTTGCTGATAGAGTAGATAGCACGACAGTAATTAGAGCAGGACACTGGTTTCCCAACCAGTTCTACTGAGGTGGGGTCAGCAGGGGCGGATCTAGATGGGGGGCCAATCATTGGCCACCCCTGTGGCCACCCCTACCATTTGTTCCCTCTAATACAGATGGTGGCAGCAGTAATACTCTCAAGTGGAATATTCAAAACATTTTTTGTGGTTAATTATGCACATCAATATACTAACATCAAAGATCAGTACAGAACTTATCAAATACTCAATTTATGTAGATATTAGTGCTTGTAAATATCAATTTTAATGCAGAATGTTTATTGATTAAAGTAGGTAAGTAATGAGGATGTAAAAGATTTACGCCACAGAACTCAAAACTGAAAGAGTTTTATCCACTATACCTTTTTATGTTTAAATATATGCATCTATTTCTTACCAAAGGCTGTAGGAAAGTATAGTTTGTCTTTATTTAGAAAATATGGATGTTTTGCTCGTTAATTCTCCTCTTGGAACAGTGCCGATTGACCCTGAGTTTCTGGTGCCTTATCAACTTTCGCCCCCCCTTCAGTGTACATTGGTTATTGCCTGGCCACCCTTCTAAAAAATTTCTGGCTACGCCTCTGGTGGTCAGACATAGACTTTGATTCTAGAGCCAACCCAACTGGAGTAAATTGTCGGCTGTGACGTCTGGTTTATCGTTCAAAATGATGTCATCAAACAGACAGTCATAAGAAAATAGTCTTTCAAAGTAATAAAACAATGTAAAAAAAATAGGAATAACATGATTACAAAATAAGAAATCTGGGCAGATCAAGCACTTTTCTACATAAACGCATAAAACCGTTCTTCAGTACATAATGCATATAAGCCAGGACAAGATAAAGAACCTCCAGGTGTGAAATCTACTGTTTAACTATGAGTAACTCAAGTTATTCTTAGTGAGTAGAGTGACCAGAAATTAGCTGATTCTCTCATAAGATTATTACTTAAATAACAGTAAGCGAAAGTAAAACTACTCCTAAAAGTATGTTGTTGTTGTTGTTTTTTTTTATAATTTTATTTTGATCAGGGGGAACCAATTAAAAATCTATTTTTTTTTCCATTTTAAAATCTAAAATGTTATTTGAAGTAGAGAGCAACAATCGTTAAGTTAGTATATATACAATTTCCTGACTCATGTTTCATAAAAACACCTGAACTGTCCGTTTTTTCTTTCTTTTTTCTGGCTTAATGAGAGCAGTGGGCTTTAGGCTGCCCTGCAAGGCTTAAACCTGGGTTTAAATGTAGACAAAGTCATTCTCAAGCTATTCCAGGCTCCTTCATGAGCTTATATGATCCCAAAAACTAAGACCGTTTTGTTTAAATGATTGGTTGCAAACTATTTGTACTTCAACATACCAGGAACCACATTTCTCATCTTCAGCAAAATGTTTATTTTATACTAAGAGGCTTAAAAGTTTCATCAAATCCAGTCAAAACGCCCAAGAGCGCCTCTCACAACTGCAGAAGAAACTTCTCATCTCAGGTCTGGATGAAAACATGATGAGTTTGGAAGCAGAGCAAACATAGTTCATACAAACCATGCATGGTCCTAGTTATCGCTGTTACAAAAATCCACAACAAAATGAAAATTTTTGGGCAGAAACTGAACATATGCTGGATGATGGTGGAGATTTTTTAAATATGTCATATTAAATTAAGCGTTCATTTCCGCATGTTTTGTTCCTGAATTTAATGATAATATAGAGCATGTTCTCCTCGAGCTCCGAGGAAGTCGGGAGGAAGCGGAGGCTTTATTTATAAATGTTTTCAATCAGGTTGGGTCGGGATTAGCCAGACCTCTGATTTAAATAAATGTAACTTAGCTTTTACCCTCCTCTGGTAAGAAGTAAATATTACGCTATTATACTGGTTTAATATGTTTGATGTCAAAAGGTAAACTAGGAAAAAGTTATATTTTCAAGCTGGAATGGTTTGCAGCACTTTAGTGAAATGAAATGTTATATTCTGATTGTTGGAGTAAAGCTTAAAGAAATAAAACGTGGTCAGACTTTGACTTTGATTTTAGAGCCAACCAAGCCGAAGTAAATGGATCTGACATGTATATCCATTTGGGAGAAAGGTGACTATTTAAAGGATACAGATGGAGGGACTGTGAATGGGGGTCTGCCATAGAACAGATGTTTGTTGTAGAGATAAGGACTTCTGGTTTTTTTTGAACTCTTATCTACTGACACTGATTTGGATCAAACTTGGCTTTAAAAGGAGGCTGTTTAGTAGCTTTCTGCATAAAGAGAGTAGCGTTAAAACAAACAAAAAACGAACCACTGCAGAGTGGAGTTTGTCTCGTTGTTGCAAGCAAATAATATTTTCTAAATGGAAATTTTAAAAATACAATCATTTTTAAAAGGTCCTAATCGAAAAACCTTTTTAGAGGAACTTTTATGTTTCCCCAAATTTTATTTTAAATATTTGTTAGTATTTAAAAAAAAAACATTTTTTTAAACTTTATTTCTCTTTTTACTTCTTTATATGCATATGTATATATTTTTTTCTTTACATGTTTGTCTTTTTTCAAATGCATTTTAGAGAACACATACAGACGGTTGCTCTTATTGTAGACATAGACCAATAGATGGGAAGTGTTGGCCTAGTGGTTAGAATAGTGAGCTTGTTCTCTGAGAAGGTTGTAAGTACCCGGTTTGATCCCCTTCACCTGCTCAGGGACCCGGAGGTCTTTATTTGCTTTATTCTGCTTTTTTTCTTCTTCTATTTCATTATCTAATTCATGTAAAGTACTTTGAATTGTCTTTGTACTAAATTGTGCTTTGCAACTTGCCTTGCCTCAGAAAATGTCAATCATTTCTCTCAAAACCTTTTTTGATTCAACTATTTTTCAAAACTTTAATTTCTCTAGTTGCATTTCTTTTTTTTCAAATTTCCATTTACAAAGTTTTTTTTTAAATGCTTTCAACAATAATGGAACAGAGTTAACTCCATAGATTAAATTATCTCTGTTTATTTTTATTTTTGCATCACTAGAAAACAACATCTCTGTTTTTTCGAACAATTATCAGACATGAACCAACTGAGAGGAGAAAAAGCAGATTTTGAACACTAGCTGTCTGATTGTTGCATCATTTTTTAGATATTAATAAGATCATCATTAACAGTAATACATGTGTATCACTTAGAAACTGAAAACCTTCCTGGTAGATTGTTTTCACACATTTTGTTTATGTTGCAGAGAGATTTTTTGGAGAAATGATGGATGTGAAACAATTTTCCACCTCATAATTTTTCCTTTATTTTTTTAATATTTTGCAGTACAATAAGCACCTGTTTGTGCACATCAGCCAGAGCAGCCCGAGCTACAGCGACCCGCTGCTGGAGTGTGTGGACATCAGGCAAATCTACGACAAGTTCCCCGAGAAGAAGGGCGGATTAAAGGAGCTTTTCAGCAAGGGCCCACAGAACGCATTCTATTTGATCAAGTTCTGGGTAAAGAAATGTGCTAATTACTTTCACTACTTCTTCTTACTTCATTTTTACAATCTTCTAAACATTACTTTGCCGGGAATAGCTTTTTAAAATTACCCAAAAGCAAAATCACCTTTGCAAGTACTCTGTACTTTTCCATGAAGGGTCTTTGTCTGCACTTCCAGGTGTTTGAGTGTGTGTGTGTGTTCTGTCATTCCACCTGGGATATAGAGGTGGTGGGTTGATGAAAGCTCAGACGCTTTGTTTGAACACCTGCTCACCTCCTGACTCACAGGTTGCTCTGCCTCCACCTTTGTGTGTCTCGCCTTGCTGCTCTTTCTCCAAAATGCCTCAGGCCAAATCATAAACTTTCAAGAATATTGAAAAGCACAAATTTCCGACAGCTGTGACACAGCGGTTTACCTTCTGCAACCGCAATTTAGAGAGTGAAAGAGGTGACGGGTCTTTAAACCTGTTTACATCACTAGA